AATCTTTAGTTTCTGATGTAAACAGGAAAAACAGGCATGATGTTATTAATCCAAGGTGGATTGGGTGGTAAGGCTGTGAGTGTTGTGGGCAGGTAGAAGGGGGTCTTGCCAAGAGCAAGCAGGGCTCATTTTCACTCCAGCTTATGGAAGTGTGGAGCCTGGGAAGGGTGTTCTTACCAGACAGACTTTGTGCCCATAGCTGATTTTCTGTGCTTCTACTGTGGGGGGTGTATGTGTGTGTGTGCATGTGTTCCAATCAACTTTGCAACCTGATTCTTTAGACACCTGTTGTGGATACTTCCACCCCTATACCCAGCTGGGCCCCTGCAAAAGAAGTTATCTCATCTCTTGAAAGGAAGCTTCCTGCAGTGTCTGGATGCCATGTTTTAATAGAAAATTATTTTATTTTTAATCATGTTTGTTTTTCTGAAATTGTTCTAATGATAACTTCATCAGATAGTTTTGGCACTCACATCCCTAATACCATAATCACTTAGGGTCTGTTTATGTAACAGTACTACATGTCTCGTAATCTGTTCTCCTGGGGTCCTCGTAAGTATCCTCCCTGGATGAGTTGATATTAATATCTTTTCAATTACATGGAATTATAGAGTCATGCCTTGTCCAGGCATAAGTAACATGAAGAAAGCATCCTGTTCAAGATTGAGTGCCAACTAGGATAGAGTAAACCAGTGGTCCCCAACCTTTTTTGCCACCAGGGACTGGCTTCATGGAAGACAAGTTTTCCAAGACCATGCTCACAGACCTGTGGCGAAGGGGCAGGGGCAGAGCTCAGGCAGCGATGTGAGCGATGGGGAGTGGCAGTAAATACAGATGAAGCTTTGCAGGCTCACCTGCCACTCACCCCGTGCTGTGTCCCCTCACCCCCAAGTTACATGGAAGACAATTTTTCCACAGAAGGGTGGGGGAGGGGGAACGGAGGGGCGCTCTGTGGCCCCAGGGATTGGGGACTGCAGGATTAAGCAACACTTGACAATAATTAAAAATATGCAAGAAAGCCACCAAGCTGTACCTGTGAGGTTGCTTTAATAATCAGCTTTTCAGGCCAGGCATGGTGGCACACGCCTGTAATCCTAGCACTTTGGGAGGCCAAGGCAGGAGGATCTCTTGAGACCAGGAGTTTGAAACCAGCCTGAGCAGAGCAAGACCCCATCTCTACAATAAATAGAAAAACTAATCAGGCAATGTGGCGCACGCCTGTAGTCCCAGCTACCTAAGAGGCCGAGGCAGCAGAATCAGTTGAGCCTAGCAGTTTGAAGTTTCAGTAAGCTATGATGAGGTCACTGCACTCTAGTCCAGGTGACAGAGACCCTGCCTAAAAAAAAAAAAAGAAAATCAGCTTTTCACAACTTGTTCACTCTTAAAAGTTCATATTAGCTATTATATTGTCATATATTTGATCAAAAGCATAATTGAAGAGAAAAATGTGGTAGCCTTCAGCAGTAACGACGGGAAGCCTTGTTATTTGGACCCTAGGCCATAAACAATGTCCCACTGTTTGCTTGGTGTCTAGTCACCTTAATTACAAACAAACTCTTTAGGAACAAATTAACATGTAGAATGTAAGCTTTGTCATCCCAAATCTATAAAATTCAATTCAGTATCTCATAGAGTACCCAGAGTAACCTTATATGGGCAATGTTTTGCAATTGTAGGATATTTATGACCGTGTATTTACCTTTCATTAATTACACTCTATTTCCTGTGGATATAATGAGATTTTAAAATCTGTGTTCTGTTAGTAGAAGCAGTAAATGTGCAGTGTGTATGTATGTATTACTACTGAGAAGCACAATTCTCTATGGTATTACTTCTGCCAAACTGTATTAATCATATTCACATTTATAAGAATATTATTAAGTAAACTCAGTTCATATCACAAATTATCCTCAGTGTAGCTTGTGTGCCTGATCTGGATCTCAAGTTTATTTTCCTTGCTATGTTTGATCTGCATAATTATGGTTTTGTTGACTTTCAATTTCCTTCAAGCAGAGAAGTGCTTTGAAAACCAAACATTTAACCATCTACCATCTGCAAAAAAAAAAGAAAAGAAGGCTCTGGAAAAAAAGAAAAATTGCATTCATCAGTTTAAGTCTATTCTCTGTGTGTAACAGTTTCAAGGCAGTGTTGGATTAGGGAGAAATTTGAAGGAATGTGGCCACCTTTGCCATAGACTTAGTATGAGCCACCTGTGTGATTCAGCCACCAAAAACAATAAGATAATACTAGTTCAGTATTAAGAGAAATGTAGCATTCCAACAATAGGAAGATAGAGTTCTATTATATTCTGCCATAGCTATTAATAGAATATTGTGTCTATTATTACCTTGTTTGTATATTTTTATTTTTATGTTTTTTTATTCTCTTTTGCCCTTTTATCTATGTGACCAACCATTGGCACATATTTTCAAAATAATTGTGTTTAGAACACAAAGGAAGAAAAACACCCTGCCTAGGCCGGGCGCAGTGGCTCACGCCTGTAATCCTAGCACTCTGGGAGGCCGAGGCAGGTGGATCGCTCAAGGTCAGGAGTTCCAGACCAGCCTGAGCAAGAGCGAGACCCCGTCTCTACTAAAAATAGAAAGAAATTAGCTGGACAACTAAAAACATATATATATAGAAAAAATTAGCTGGGCATGGTGGCGCATGCCTGTAGTCCCAGCTACTCTGGAGGCTGAGGCAGAAGGATTGCTTGAGCCCAGGAGTTTGAGGTTGCTGTGAGCTAGGCTGACGCCACGGCACTCTAGCCCAGGCAACAGAGTGAGACTCTGTCTCAAAAAAAAAAAAAACAAAACAAAACAAAACAAAAAAAAACACCCTGCCTGATCCATATTATCTTCTAAAGTCCTAAGCCATGCTTATTTTTAACAGCATCATTCCTTAATGAAAACCATCTGATAAATCAAGAAAAATTAGAAGACAGTTATTGTATTAATAAGCAAAGAGTGCTAAAGGACCACTTCCTGTGACCCTTAAATAAGCATTAGCTTGTGCTGATTATAAGATAAAATATGTGGCTGGCCAGTTGTCATTTTTTGAGAAAACTTAAAGCAATAATCTGTCACCTTAAAATAGGGACAATTTAGAGTTTTTTTTATTAGCCACTACATTTGAAAAAATTTAAAATTTTATATTAGAGATAAACAACTAAAATATCTAGTCTTTTAAAATTATTTTTTGTAATTTTTAGTATTAAATCTGAACAAAACATTGTAGGCATTCATTTTGAAAAATTAAAGCTAATAGAACTTTTTCCTTTATCCCTGATATGATCTTTTATTTGTTTTGAGATGGAGTCTCGCTCTGCACCTGGGCTAGAGTGCCGTGGCATCAGCCTAGCTCACAGCAACCTCAAACTCCTGGGATCACGTGATTCTCCTGCCTCAGCCTCCCAAGTAGCTGGGACTACAGGCATGCGCCACCATGCCTGGCTAATTTTTCTATTTTTAGTAGAGACGGGGTCTTGCTATTGCTCAAGCTGGTCTGGAATTCCTGACCTCAAGTGATCCTCCCGCCTCAGCCTCCCAAAGTGCTAGGATTACAGGCATGAGCCACCTCGCCCTGCCTTCAATTTTCTATTAAAGTTAGAATCATTTCATTTTCAGCATGTAGGGTTGGTGGTTTTTTTTCCCATGTTGGTAGTTATAGAGAAAACTGTAGTATTAGAATATAGTATCAGTGTGATTGAGTAAAAAAGAAAAATTATTCCTAACATTGGGCTTAAGAGAAAATAGAAAATAATCTGAATGTTTTTATTTGTTTTTAGGTCTTCGGGTAACTGTGCTCCTGACATCCTTCCTTATGGTTTTGGGAGCTGGTCTAAGATGTGTACCTATATCAGACTTAACGCTTAAAAGAAGGTAAGTCCTATAACTAAAAAAATGTTTTTCTGTGTTTTCTCTTTTATTATGAGTATATGTTTATTTACAAGCTTTTAGTAAACAATTGCATTTTTAAGAAGATCAATAGAAGGTCATATTTATGGAAGCATTTATTTTTTTTATCCTACGTGATGATTAATTCAGTGGACACTTATTAGTGGTCATATGGAAGACACTGTACTAGTTGTTGTGGAAATAAGAACAAGTTAATCTTCATGCTATCTAGGAGCTATGATAACCATGAAAAAATAATAGTATAACATACTATATATATAATAGTGTAGTTAATGCCACAGAAGAGATATGGAATTTCCCCAAGAGACTAAGAGAAGTTTTGGCTGAAGGTAACAAAAAGAGTTCCTGAAGGAGGTGGTAATTAGGCATTGAGTAATGAGTAGAATTTTAATAACTATAGTCAGGGAAAGGATGTTCCAGGTTGGGGGAACAGCAGGAGGGAAGGCATGGAGGCAGGTAAGCATAGGCCTCTTCTGGGATAGGTAGGGAGTTGCATTGGTATGCAGCAGTGTTTCTGCAACTGAGTCCGTGGATTTATTCTCAGGGGGTGCAAGGTATATGAAAATTTTAAATTTTTGTTTCCTTTTTGGTTATAATATACAAATTAGTTTACCAGTAATCTACAAGAAAAGGACATCTTTATCGATCAGGATGTCAGTTTCTTAAATTAGTTTTTCTCAAACTGAGTTCCTTGGATGTGACCTTGAGAATCATTGAGAAATTCTTTCAGAAGGACCCATGAATTACTCAAGCTTGAGAGGCACTGGTCTACAAATTAGGGTGTAAAAATGGGATATAAAGAAATGAGGTTAGAAAAGGGAATTCTGATTATGAAGGATCTTGTTGCCATCCTATAGAATTGTACTTTCCTCACTGGACAGCTGGAAGCCACTTATGCTGTTAATCAGAGGAGCAATGGTATGAGACCTTTGTTAGATACAGTACTGATTGAGATATGTAGAATTGATTACGTGGAGTAGAGACTGCCAGGAGACCAGGAAAGATGTAGAGAGAGCCCAATCTGGAATCATTCTTTTGTTTGTTTATTCATTTATTAGTTCATTCATTCATTCAACAAAATTCACTGAGCTCCTGCTATGTGCCAAGCTCTCTTCTGGGCATTGGGAATACGCAAAGAACAAAGCAGATAAAAATCCTTACCTCGTAGAATTTACATTCCAGTCATGGAAACCAGCAATAATGGAAACTAGATTGGAAACTGGATAAATAAATAAAATATGTAGTATGTGCTATGGAGAAAAAAACAAAATAGGAAGGAAGGATCTGAAATGTCGAGGGAAGGATGGTAAGATTTCAGAAAGAAAACCTTAGTGGGAAGATAACCTTTTGGAATAAAAACCTGAAAAAAGTAATGGACAATGTAATATCTAGGAGACAAGCATTCTGTGCAGAAGGAAACACAGGTGTAAGGGGTGGAAGAGGAAGAGCACAGCTGGCAGGGAGGCCGGTGTGGCTGGAGCTGAGTGAGTGACTTGATGGGAAGAATAGTCGGAGATGCGGTCACGGCAGTTATGGAGTGGTGGGAGTGTGGGACCACATTGTTTAAGATCATGTCAGCTCCTGTAAGGACTTCAGCTTTTTCTGAGCTAGGAAACCGTTGGAGGTTTTGAGCCGAGGAGTGCCATTGTCACAGGCTGCTCTCCTAAGAATAGACTGAAGCTAGAGGTCACAGGCATAAGTAAGACCAGTGGGGAAACCAGTGTGGTAAACCAGGTGAGAAATGGTGGTGGCTTGGGCCATAGTGGTGGCAATGGTGGTGGTGAGAAGTGGTCAGATTCTGATTATTTTGAATATTATATTCAAATATAATTATATTCTGATTATATCTTGGTCCATTTGCTGATGGACCAGATGCGGGGAGTAAGAGAAGGAGGAAGTTGTGGGAATGGAAAGGATGGCACAGATGTGAGAGAGAACTTGAGAAAAAGAAATTAGATGTGATGTGATTGAGGTTTCACTCTAGGGACCCTGATGTTATTGATTCCATTAATAGATGGGGAACACAGGAGGAGAGGGGAATGGATTTTAGGGACAAGATTATGACTTTCATTCACAACACAATTTTTCGGTTTAAAAATGTTCATTTTTAAATTTTCAAAATACACTCTCTTTCCAGAAAATTTAGGGTACAAGTATTCATATTTTAAAAGGGAGGTGGAAAAATCATCTGGGTTCTGCAGAAAACTAGTCATTATTTCCCATCCTTCTGAAATAGATTTTAACACATGAATTTCATTATTGTGTTTGAGATACTCTTAATTTTTCAAATATCCACAGGCTTATTTTTTTAAGCATTCCTAGTTTATTAAGTACAAATTTCAGTATAAGCTTAAATTCAACAATACACACAATCCTGTTAATATTTTTGTTAGCTTTTCTTCTGTTTTGGGCCATTCATACTACTTTCTGGTAAAGGATATCCCTTTATATCCTTTCCAGATACAAAAATTGTAGGAATGATAAAGAGTTGACTCTTCATCTTGGTGGAGAAACTGGTATGAAAAAGACATAGAATTCATAAAGAAATGTAAGCAAAGATAGAACAGATTAAGAAAGAGAAAGAGCTCAAAGAGATTGAATCTTTCATAAAAAGGGAGTACAAATTGAATTTTCAATCTTACATGTTCATCTATAAAGAATATAGGAATATTAACCCCTTGAAATACGACTCTATTTTTGTGTCCATATAGTACTTAAAAGTGCACTATGCAGCTGGTAAAATAAAAATGCTACAATTGGAACATTTATTTTCAACTCATAGTTTCTGTGGATCACCACTTTTAAGCTTCAGTCTCCATCCCACATGCAGAGGGAAGGCCGACACTGAAACAAGCATTTAGCAACCTGTGTTTTTGTGACCCTGTTTCACTTGGAGCTTTTTGAGCTTCTGACCCAGCCTTCTGGAATGGTGCTCCTGCACCCTCGACTTCTTGTTCTTGGCTCCCTTAAATCTCAAGACATGAGAATAGCAGCTTTCTGATGAGCTCTTCTTAGTGGGGTTCTACCTCTGCATAGTATCGGTATTTCTTTTATCTGCATAGTACCAATGAAAACTCAGGAAAAAATTATTTTGCCACTTTTCTCTTGTAACATCCTAGATAAATAAGAAACTTAGAATAAAAAATTATAAAGCATTTCTTCTTCAATGATCTGGAAGCAAATCATACCAAAAAAATGTGAATGGCATTGCTCTATAGCAATGAATGGCGTTACTCTATAGTGTGGAATATTATATTACATGCCCAGGAAACAATTTAAGGAATTCTGAAGGGTGAACTTATGGTAAGTTATATCTACCCTTAATGATAGGCGTATCCAATGATTCCCATAACACTTGCCATATTATCTTTCAATTCACTGTAATTTTCATTAATGTTAACAATGTATAACATTTGCTAAAACGTGTTAGGTAAGTAGTATGGTTCTGGTAAACGTAGATTTTCTAGAAATATACTCCTTTGTGAAATACTTTGCAGCTGGCAAAATTACATTTAAAATAACCATAACAGAAAAGATGAATTGTTTAGTAAATGGTTTTGTGACAGCTGCTTAGCTATCTGAAAAAAAAAAAAAAAAGGAAAAATGAGGAAGAAGAACCTACCTCCCTGCCTCACCATTTAAGTAATTTCCAGCTGGATCAGACTTAAATGTAAATAAAAAGAACCATAAAAGTATTAGGAAACGACTGTTTTAAAGAATCTGAGAGCTGAGAAGGCCTTCCAGCTAAGACACAAATCCCAGAAGCCATAAAAGAAAGACTTAATACACCTGACTACATAAAAATTTAGAATATCTTCATGATTAAATATACTATAAAACAAAGTCAAGTTAAAAACTGGAAAATATTTGCAACAATAAGACAAATGAGCAATTTCCTTAGTTGAAAAGAGTTCTTTCAAATCAGTAAGAAAAATAGCAACTCAGTAGGATAATGGATAATGGATATGAGTAAGCAATTATAGAAATTGAAACACAAATGACATAAACTTAAGAAAAGATACTCAACTTTTCATCATAATTAAAGAAGTGAAAATTAAAATAGCAGTTAGATGTTGGTTTGCTTGCAAAGATGAAAACATATGATGATGTGCTGTGTTGCCTAAGATGTGGGGAAAACCGGCTCTGCTGATGTGTGAGCAGTTTGGGGCATCCTATTTGGAGGGCATTGGGGCTTTATTTATCAGATTCAAATGTCTATGTCCTTTAACCTGGTATTTGCACTTATAGAAAATTAGCCCACATATAAAGCTTTATAACTTTGCAGGGATTACATGTTTGTGCATCTTAGCTTGTAATAGCAGAAGGCTAGATGCAACCCAGATGCTTCAACAGCAAATTGGTTATGGTGCAGTATGTCGTGGACTAGTATGCAGCTGTAAAAAGGAAGAAAAGTTCTGTAAGTGCTGATGTGGAAATATCTCCAAAATACACTGTTGGGTTAAAAGGCAAAGTTTAGAACATTATGTTTAATATGCTCCTACTTAGAAAAAAATTGAAAGAAACCATTGTCATTGATTGTTTCTGGCAAAGGGACCTGAGGAATTAGAAGTCTGGGGTGGAAAGGAAATTTACTTTTTATTTGATGCTCCTACTCTTGGGAATATTTTTACCATGTGTATATATTACTTTTTTGACTGAAAGCACTAGTTAAGTAAAATTAGAATGATCACATCAGAACTTTAGTAATGAGAATAAGAGAAGGAAAGATGAGGAAGGGTTATTCCTCATATATGTAAATTTCCCCAGTATAGAAATGTAAACCTTGTGATGTAAAAATGAACAATTGGTAGATTTAAGAACTAAGATTCTTCTCTGTAAAATATATAAGATTCAGATTCCCCTACATCAGTGTTTTTAAAAATAGAATCCACAGACTACCTGCTTATTAAAGATACAGATCTCTGGGCCCCAGCTCAGTCCTACTCAGTAAGGCTCTGGGGTGA